TGTTGTTACATAGTACTTTTTCGAAGCTTCCTGTTGTATATACTTTTTGGTAGCCATCTCAAAACAAGCTGTGCGAATTTATTACAATGTCCACTGCTTTGAAATCAATGCATTTTAAGAAAAGTGAAATGATGGAGGATTTCACATAATATTTAGCTCACTGCATATTTTTTTCAAGAGATGAAGATGCCCATGCTTGCAGGATGAAGTCTTGGTGGCAAAGCTATCATTAGTTTGCGACCTTTCATAATCCATCAGTGGATAAGATTTCTTGACTTATAACCAACTTAAATTTTGAGCCAGCTCAAGGATAAATTGTGCAAGATAGCAAGTATAAGACCAAAACAAACAAATCTATCGTATCATCTTTGATTCAACAATGCACGCTAAGATCGGTATAAGGTGCTCTTGCTAATGCTGTCAATATTGGAATGTTGAGAAATTCTTTAACTCATATATCAAACATGACGAAATCCATCGGTATCCTTGTTTTGTATTCGCAAATCTCAAAAGGCTTTAGTGCTAGCCCATTTTCTTTTCTGACAAACAAATTGACAAACTAAACTTGAACTATCAGTAGAGCATGCAGTGAGCTAGACCTTAGAAGCTAACCATTCTCCTTTTTATCCTAAAACCTATGTAATGTGGTTCATTCGAATTAAAAGTAGCCAGGTATGCTCTGAGATTCTCCACAATGACGTAGGTATCGTCATCGGCCTTGTAGTACCTGAATAGTGGAGTCTATTGAGGTAAAAACAATGCAAATTACACGTAAATCAAATTACCAGTCGTAGTGTGCTGAGATGTTAGTGTAGACATAGTAGAGCGCTAATCTTGTTTTCCAAAAAAGTTTAAAATAACTTTCAGGCAAAGACGAGAAGATTGTATGATAGGGAGTAAAGCTGTTGAGAAATCGGCCGCTATTGGTAAGAAAATGCGATGCGTCACATCGACGAAGCCAAGTGGAATTTATGGCGCGAACCTAAAATGGATTTTTCTTACAACTACACATTGTAGTGCAATAGTAATCATTCTGTAATAGATTTGAAGGTATAAGAGCAGGGGATAGAATAAAAGGAATCACTTATTGGGTAGTTTGTTCATCCAAATATGAGTTAGTTAAAATGTGTTGAGAGTCAAAATAAGTGAAAGCAAAACAGCAAGGAAAAAGTGGAGCTCAGATTCCAATTTGAGATTGACAAGTTCTACAATTTTCTCGACCAGAAACATCTTTTG